TTCCTATTTGGATGCCTTTTCTTTCTTTCTCTTGCCTGACTGCTCTGGCTAGGACTTCCAATACAATGTTGAATAGGAGTGGTTAGAGTGGACATTCTTGTCTTGTTCCAGTTTTCAAAGGGAGTGGTTTGAGCTTTTGGCTGTTCAGTATGATGTTCGCTGTGCGATCTGTCAAAGATGGCTCTTATTATTTTGAGGTATGTTCCTTTGATGCCTAGTCTGTTGAGGGTTTTTATCATGAAGGGATGTTGGATTTCATTGAAAGCCTTTTCTGTATATATAGAGATGATCATATTGTTTTTGCTTTTGAATCTGTTTATGTGCTGAATCACATTTATTCATTTGCATATGTTGAACCAATCTTGTATATCAGGAATAATGCCTAGTTGATTGTGGTGAGTTAACTTTTTGATGTGCTGCTGGATTTGGTCTGCTGGTATTTTGTTGAGGATTTTTGCATCTATGTTTATCAGAGATATTGGCCTGAAGTTTTCTTTCTTCATCGTGTCTCTGCCAGAGTTTGGTATTAGGTTGATGCTGGCTTCACGGAATGAGTTAAGGAGGAGTCCTTCCTCAATATTTTGGAATACTTTCAGTAGGACTGGTACCAGTTCTTCTTTTGGTAGAAAGAAGTATAATTCGATAGAACTTGGCTGTGACTCCATCTGGTCTAGTGCTTTTTTTGGTTGGTGGGTTTTTTATTACTGATTCCATTTTAGAGCTTAATATTGGTTTATGCAGAGTTACGATATATTCTGGATTCAATCTTAGGAGATTCTGTATGTTTCCAGGAATTTATCCATTTCCTCTAGAATTTCTAATTTGTGTGTATAGAGTTGTTCCTGATATTCTGAGGATCTTTTCTATTTCTGTGGGATCAGCTGTAATGTCATCTTTGTCATTTCTGATTGTATTTATTTGGATCTCCTCTTTTTTCTTTGTTAACCTAGCTAGTGGTTTATCAATCTAGTTTATTTTTTTCAAAGAACCAAGTCTTGGTTTCATTCACTGACCCTTGGCAAATAATTTTTTGCTAAGTCTCCAAAAGCAATGGCAACAAAAGCAAAAACAGACAAGCGGGACCTAATTAAACTAAAGAGCATCTGCACAGCCAAAAAAGCAAAAACAAAAACAAAAGCAAAAATACACACAAAACAACAACAATAACAAAACTATCAAGAAAGCAAACAGACAACCTACAGAACAGGAGGAGATATTCTCAAACTATGCATCCAACGAAGACCTAATATCCAGACTCTATACAGAGCCAAAATAACAAGCAAAAACCAAATAACCGAATTAAAAAGTGAGCAAAGATCATGAACAGACATTTCTCAAAAGAAGACATAAAAGTGGCCAAAAAACATATGAAAAAATGCTCAGGATCACTAATCATCAGAGAAATGCAAATCAAAACCACAATGAAATACCATCTCACACCATCAGCATGGCTATTATTCACAATAGCAAAGACATGTAATCAACCCAAGTGTCCACCAATGATAGACTGCATAAAGAAATCTGGTACACATGGAATACTACACAACTATAAAAAAGAATGAAATTACATCCTTTGCAGTAACACAGATGAGCTAGTGGCTGCAATCCTAAGCAAATTAACATGGAACAGAAAACAAAATACCACATGTTCTCACTTATAAGTGGGAGCTAAACATTGAGCACACATGGAGATAAATATGGGAACAATAGACCCTATGGAATACTAGAGGGTGGGGGGTACTATGCTCACTACCTGCGTGACAGGATTCATACACTAAACCTTAGCATCACTCAATATTCTCATGTAACAAATCTGCACATATATACCCTATGTCTAAAATAAAATTTGAAAAAAAGATACACAAATGGAAAATAAACATATGAGTCAACAGACACTTATCATCCTATATCATCAGGGAATTGTGAATTTAAGAAAATGAGATACCACTACATACCTATTAGAATGGCTAAAATTCAAAACACTGATACCACCACAACACCAAATGCTGGTGAGGATGTGGAGCAACATGAACTCTCATTCACTGCTGCTGGGAATGTAAAATGGCACAGCCACTTTGGCAGACAGTTTGGCAATTTAAAAAATGTAAAGATAGTCTTACCACATAATCCAGCAATCATGGTCCTAGGTATTTACACAAATGAGTTGAGATGCCCACACAAAATCCTACACATGGATATTTACTGCAGCTTGAGTCACAACTGTCAAAACGTAGAAGCAACTAGGATGTCCTGCAGTAGGTGAATGGATAAACAAATTATAGTCCAAGCAGACAATGGAGTATTACTCAGTGATAAAAAGAAAAGAGCTATTAAGCCATGAAGACACCGAGGAACCCTAACTGCTGACTGCTGAGTGAAAGATGCCAATTTAGAAAGCCTACACACTGTGAAATTACATGCCATTCTAGAGAAGGCAAAACTATGGATACAGTAAAAGGATTAGTAGTTGCCGAAAGTTTGGGGAGAAAGCAGGATACATAGGTGGAGCACAGGGATTTGGAGGGCAGTGAAGCTATTCTGTATGATGGTGTAATGGTGGATACATTTCACTATACATTTATCAGAACTCACAGAATATACAACAGAAAGAGTGAACCCTAATGTAAACCATGGACTTTAGTTAATAATAACGTATTAATATTGCCTCATCAATTAGAACAAGTGTATCAGATCGATGCAAGATGTTAGTAACAGGGGCAACTGTGGGGATGGGGAGGGAAAGTGAACATATGGGAACTCTGTGCTTACTGCTCTACGTTTCTGTAAACCTAAAACTACAGTACTCCTAAAAAATAAAGGCTATTAATTACAAAAATTATTAACAAAATCAAAATGCTTACTGGACAACCAAATTTTGGTTAAGCTTCTTTCCTTTCCCCAAGCCCCTGAACTCTGACCCAGAGTATAGAATCTCTCCTTTGAAAATTGCTTCTGAGAATCAGCTGACCACAAGGAAAAGCATCTCTGATCAGCTGTCCATTCCCTCCACCCACTCCTTCACACCTGGTTCTTTCTAGCATTGTTTACCCACCCCCTCTTAGGAAATAAATTTCCTTTCTGTGTGATCTTTGAGACCCTTGCAGATCTTATGGTTGGAGCGTTCCCCTTACTGCAATAGCCCCCTCACCTCTACTGCAATGATTCTTCTGAATCAAGTCTCTTCTTACATAAATCCAGATTTTTCTTTGAAAGACAATACATTCTATTAGTTTAGGCTGTTTAGTTAGTTTTAACTAAAATCATTCACCACATCAGTGAACATGCAACTTGGTTTTAAAAAAAAAAACAAAAACAAAAACACAATGTCTTACTCTGTTGTCCAGGCTGGAGTGCAATGGCGTGATCTCAGCTCACTGCAACCTCTGCCTCCCGGGTTCAAGCAATTCTCCTGCCTCAGCCTCCTGAGTAGCCTGGATTACAGGTGCCCACTATCACGCCTGGCTAATTTTTGTAATTTTAGTAATTATAGGGTTTCAGCATGTTGGTCAGGCTGGTCTTGAACTCCTGACCTCACGTGATCTGCCCGCCTCGGCTTCCCAAAGTGCTGGGAGTACAGGCATCAGCCACCGAGCCCGGCTGCAACTTGTTTTTAATACAATTATAGGCTTGTAAGATTTTAATGCTTCAAGGGATCTAAAAATCAACTAGTCCCAACTCTGACCAATGGCAGGAGCTTTGAGCAATAGATATCCTGTCACTGACCAAACACCTCTAGTAGTAGGTAATGTAGTGTCACTCAAGATAGCTTGTTCTGCCATTATGAAATTCTCATACCAAGCTGACATTTCCATTCACACAGTAGCTACCCACAGGTACCAGCTCTGTCCTCTCAACAATTAAGGATACCTATGCTTTCTTCCAGTTACTGTCCTCCAGATCACTGCCCTCCAGGTGTCTAAAGGCAACTAGACTCCAGCTTCTTCACATCCATAAAAAGGCATCTGTCTTGCTGAGGTTTTCAACTCTACTAATACAAAAACAAAGATTGAATCATGTTCTCTGTTTCCGTTAATTGCGGGGGTGCTCAGTAGAGGCAATGAAGTCATATTTGGAGTCCTATTAAGACAAATACTCTAGAGAAGAAGCATCTATATCCATCAAGGGCTATCATTTTGTTGTTTATGAGAACTCGCATCTTTGCAGGAAAGAGTTAAGGGTGAGGCATCAAAAGGTGAATGTATCTTTATTTTATTTAAGCCTCCATCAAATGATGGCTAGAAAATGCTGCATCTATCTCAGTGTTTTCTTCATTTCATGTTTCCCTTGACTTTTGTGAAACTACCAACCAGCCATTCTTAGGGCCAGTCAGTTGAGACACTGTGGCCAGCTTTTCCGGTTGTTATGGAAACAGTGGCCTTTGTGAGGCTTTTTCCCTTAAAAAAAAAAAAAAAAAAAGCCAACCTGTAATTCAACAAAAATTATGAGCAAGTATAGCTGTCTATATTGCTGACATGAGCAGCAAGACTGGGAATTGGTTATAAAAACCTTACTTCGTAAGAACACCTGGAACAACCACCGAAAAAAAAAAAAAAAAAAAAAAACACAGCCAGGCATGGTGGCTCATGCCTATAATCCCAATTACTCAGGAGGCTGAGGTGGGACAATCACTTGAGCCCAGGAGTCTGAGGCTGCAGTGAGCTATGACTGTGCCACTGCACTCCAGCCTGGGCAACACAGTGAGACACTGTCTCTTAAAAAACTCCAAAAATCAGCTCCAAATTCTTATAACCTACCTGAATACTTAACAAACTGAAAATCAACTTCTGAGAGGCTTGGCTATGACATCCACCAGTTCAGTCACCATTAACATGTAAATGTGCTGAGAGAGGGAACTGTATTTCTTCACTGTCCTTTGTCCCTCTGAACCCTGGCACCTAACAGAGGCTTGCGGAGTATCTACTGAATGGATTCACAGAACTATTGGAAAGGCTTTCCACTGTCTCATTCCCTATGCATTGTCCCTAACTGGAAGAAGTTACTTTGAGGAGAACACTGGAGGAGAACCTCCAGTGGCACCAGCAGCCTGAGGATAGTCTTCAGCCAGAGCACCTGGCCCCTCAGCTTCTGCAGACACACTGGCAGAGAAAGCCGATCTAAAACCAGGAGTTGCTCAGAGAAGTAACCATGTACCTGTGATCAAGACATAAGACAAAATGCTTTCTCTAGTTATCGTAAATGTAACAGACCCAACTTTTCTGTGAAAATTCTTGGTTGGTGTTTCTTTGGTAGTCAAGAAGAGATGCATCATAGCTGAGTGGTGTCTGATGCTGCCCCGAACTAACTCTTCTGACCTACCTTAAACACTGTCAACACCTCCATTTGGATCTATCCTGGGGAATTCACTGCAATGGGTTTTATGTCAATTTTTATCTGAAGGCAATGATTCCTGATTTTTAAATTTCTGGTCATACATGATCAAATACTAAAGGTCCTAAGGAACCATGTGTATCTTCCAACTCCGTTACTGAAACTATCAATTAGAGCCCACTAAGAAGAAATTTTATATAAAGTAAATATATACCAATTTTATATACAATAAATATTGCCAATCTAAAGCTTTTGTAAAGAATATCTATAATGCAAAATGCTAGTAAAAAGATACATGTTGTGGGTCGGGCATGGGGGCTCATGCCTGTAATCCCAGCACTCTGGGAAGTTGAGGTCAGGAGTCTGAGACCAGCCTGGCCAACACGGTGAAACCCCTTCTCTCCTAAAAATACAAAAAAATTAGCTGGGTGTGGTGGCGTGTGCTTGTCCCAGCTACTCGGGAGGCTGCGGCAGGAGAACTGCTCGAACCTGGGAGGCAGAGGTTGCAGTGAGTCAAGATCACACCACTGCACTCCAGGCTGGGTGATAGAGTGAGACTCCATCTCAAAAAAAAAAAAAAAAAGAAAAAAAGATCCATGTTGTGGAATGTGATGCACACTCTGACATGCAGCGGCAGAGTGGAACAGTGACATTCTACAGAGTGACTCCTACATGAAATACCTAAAAAGAAGCCCCAGGAAGTGAGCAGAGTCCTACAGAACATGACTCTGGTTTCCTTAGCACTTGAATCCAGCTCTTGGCAGGGCCAATATTGACAGCAGAGTCACCAAACACTTCCTTCAGTTATCGGTCAACAGAGACTTTTTAGCTAAATCAAGAACATTACTGCTTCCTTTGTGTTTCCTACACATGTCACTTTGGCAGTCACTCTGTTCAACAGACACTACTGCTGCTTCCATCTGTCAATGCAACTTTGGGAAGAGAGACTGTAGCTCAAGGATAAGAACCAGAATATATACATAGATGTACGTGAGCATACAAGCATATCAACACAAAAATATATACCCAACTAAGGAAGTAATAATTAGGTGTTGAGTTTCACACCGATCTTCAGGTAAATCTCTCTTCGAGTACTGCTGATTCAAATAAGGAACTGACCATGCCTGGGAGACAAGCGTGAAACAATAATGATGTTTCATTTATTTTTCCTCTAGTCATCAGAGCCAGAAATTTCTTTTCCCCTTCACTTCTCATAAACAGCCACGGAGTCCTATGAAATCTCTTTCGTATATCTCTCATTTATTCAACAACGAACGAGTGACTACTTTGTTCTACACTTAAGGATACAACCTGTAAACAAGACTGACATGGTTACCGCTCTGCCCTCACGAGGCATATGGCCTAATGGGAGATGGGCATTAGGTAGAGAGGCAACCTCAACCCATCCAGGTATTGGTAGGGACTAATTCAGGGTGCTATGAGCTCAGGGAAGGAAGGACACTTACTCAGATTTAAGGAGAGTGTCAGGGTTTTCTGAGAGAAAAAATAGCTAATATTTGAATCCATCTAATCTCTTTACTCCATTAAGATAGCCTAGGGTTAGGACCTTTTTTCTTGCCTGGACAAATATCTTACTCTTCTAATTGGTCTTTCTGCTTTTAATCTTACCTTTGCTGGAAACCTTATCGTCAAGATAGAAAGCAAACTTCACAGACTTGGGTTCTTTGTGGTCTGAATCCCTATTTATCTTTTACCAGACTTCTCCATGCTTTCATATTATATTGAAGACATGCAGAACCACTCCCATTTCCTACAATGTGTTATATTCACCTCCATCTGCCTAGGTTATCATTTCCCTTGTTTCTTAAGACTAGGTCAAACTTTACCTTTGCGGGGAAGCCTTTCCTGACCCCTAATCTGGAATGGCCACCCACTATGATATATATTTTCAAGTAAGGATAGACGGCATAAACAGCGTGATAGTAAGTATGTGCTATTTACTTTTGGGCTTCAACTCAGGAATGGTCATGGCCCAAATTAAGAATCTGTATTTCAGAAGAGGCCAGCTAACATGAACTCCACAAGGCAGCCACTAAAAAAAGCTCTTCAGCTATTCTATGTTCACCAACACTAAGACTTGGCTCATTAGCTTAAAAATGGAAATATTTTTATTGGTGAAAGTAATGACCTGTTAACCACCATCGTGAATATTGGAAATGGACTCTCATTGATAAAGTAAAAGGTATCTGAGATATGTATATTGAATAAAATATTTTAGAGATAGTCCCAACTTTTGCATAAACCAGGAATAAGTCTGCATCTGATCACAAAGGAATGCTGCCCGGGCCACTTGTGTGCAGTCATTGGCTTAGGAAGCATCTGTTTGCCTGATGCCGATTCTGAGTAACAGAATCTTGCTTCTGTAATGTCACATCCCTTACAAGAGGTCAGACACCTAAAATGACAAAGAGCTGGGACATTACTCAGTTTGAAAAATAGGTTGCAGAACCTATTTCTAAATGAGTATTTATTTAATAAATGCCTATATACACGGCAGAATTTGCTGTCACTCTAATGTGGTAACAGTGTTGTAGGGGAGCAGCTAACCATTCCTCAAAGTTCTTCATGGAGGTTTCTGCCATAAAGAACGTAAGAACTGCACTAAGTTAGCCTAGTCATCTCAGAATAGGGCCTTTCCTTGGCGCCTTCACAGAACCCTGTGCACCTTCCATGGTATGTGTCAAGGTGTATGGTAACTGTCAGTTTACCTGTCTACTTTTCTCAATAAATGCTGAGGCCTTTGAGAACAGGACCTCATCTCTAGTCCACTGTTTATCTCAGTAACCAGTGTAACAAAATACAGCTGGCTGGGCGTGGTGGCTCACACCTGTAATCCCACCACTTTGGGAGGCCAAGGCGGGTGGCTCATGAAGTCAGTAGATTGAGACTATCATGGCCAGCATGGTGAAATCCTGTCTCTACTGAAAATACAAAAAAATTAGCTGGGTGTGGTGGTGGGTGCCTGCAGTCCCAGGTACCCAGGAGACTGAGGCAAGAGAATCCTTGAACCCAGGAGGCGGAGGTTGCAGTGAACTGAGATTGTGCCACTCCACTCTAGCCTGGGCAACAGAGTGGGACTCTGTCTCAAAAAAAAAAAAAAAAAAGACAGTCGCTCACACCTGTAATCCCAGCACTTTGGGAAGCCAAGGCAGACGGATCATGAGGTTAGGAGTTCGAGACCAACATGGTGAAACCCCATCTCTACTAAAAATACAAAAACTGGCTGCGTGTGGTGGTGCATCCCTGTAGTCCCAGCTACTCAGGAGGCTGAGGTAGCAGAATCGCTTGAACCCGGGAGGCGGAGGTTGCAGTGACCTGAGATCGTGCGACTGTACTCCAGCCTAGGCGACAGAGGGAAACTCCATCTCAAAAAAAAAAAAAAAAAAAAAAGAAAGAAAGAAATACAGTCATCCCTTGGTATCTGTGGGGAATTTACTCCAGGACCTCCTGTGGATGCCAAAATCCATGGATGCTCAAGTCCTTTAAAATGGCATGGTATTTGCATATAACCAGTGTAAATCCTCCCATATACTTTAAATCATCTTTAGATTACTTATAATACCTAATACAATGTAAATAGTTGTACTGTTTTTTATTGTTGTATCATTATTTTTTATCATTTCCCCCCCCCATATATCTTCAATCTGTGGTTGGTTGAATCCACAGATGCAGAACCCACAAATGTGAAGGGTAGACTATACTTGCTGAATGAACAATATTATACAAGCAGCATGATAAAGTAAGAGGACATCTGATTAGGAGGCGGGAGACCTGCATTTTAATACTAGTGTCAACAACAGCTTGAGTACTTACTATATGTCAAACACAATGTTAGACTCTTAAACAGTAGAGTATTTCATTTAATCTTCAGGACCATTCTGAGAGTAGCATCACCATTTTACATAAGATGAAACAGAGGGGCCAATTTACACAAGGTCATTCAGATAAATAAGTAGAAGAGTAAATCTTTGAACCCAAGTCTGGTGGTATCCAAAGCACATGCTTGACATCACTATGTTAGAAGTGTATTCCAGGCCGGGCGCGGTGGCTCAAGCCTGTAATCCCAGCACTTTGGGAGGCCGAGACGGGCGGATCACGAGGTCGGGAGATCGAGACCATCCTGGCTAACATGGTGAAACCCCGTCTCTACTAAAAAATACAAAAAACTAGCCGGGCGAGGTGGCGGGCGCCTGTAGTCCCAGCTACTCGGGAGGCTGAGGCAGGAGAATGGCGTAAACCCGGGAGGCGGAGCTTGCAGTGAGCTGAGATCCGGCCACTGCACTCCAGCCTGGGCGGCAGAGCGAGACTCCGTCTCAAAAAAAAAAAAAAAAAAGAAGTGTATTCCATAGCTAACATTGGAGAGCCAAGACAAAAAATTGGAATCCCTCTGGATTCCCATTTCCTCATCTATTTACTGAGCGAGACTAAAATGACAGGCTCCCCCCACTCTTCGTGTTACAGTGTGATGGTTCTAAGTATCAACAGTCACTGCCTCAGTCTCGCCTGCCCCTACTGCCTTGACAAGCGTGAAAGAGGATTTTTATGTGCAGTGTGTTACAGGCCTTTTCAGACAACATATTTTGTTTTTAGACTCTTCTCTTCTGAAAAAGTCTCAGGGGATTCTGAAGTCAGAGGAGGGGGACCCATTTTTGGAACATTGCTTTGAAGTTCTAAAACCTGCTGTTAGTCAACAGAGCCAGCAGGTGGTTATTTTTGTTCTATAGTCCTTCACTGATACGGATACTGGCTGAAACGGTAAAAAAGGGCAAGGAAAAAAAACACTTTGACTATTAGAGAAAGAAAAATGATGAAAGAAACGAGCAGAAATGTCAATTTGTTTACCATGTTTCAACCGCACTTTTGCAGCCGGATAAAGGAAAAGATTTTAGTGGTTCTCTTGACATCATCTATGCATTGCTCAGATAGAGTGTAAAACAGTCAGACCCTATCTGTGGTCACAAAGCTTACAGTCAGGAACTGAAGCGGCACACATGAGAGCTCTCTTCTGCCAGTATTTATTGAAGACCTTCTCATGTGCTGTTAATATCTCAGGCCAGTTTTTTTAGGCACAGCTCTGTAGAAGTAAAGCACTTTTTTTTTTTTTTTTTTTTGAGACAGAGTTTCACTCTTGTTGCCCAGGCTGGAGTGCAGTGGCTTAATCTCGACTCACTGCAACCTCTGCCTCCTGGGTTCAAGTGATTCTCCTGCCTCAGCCTCTGGAGTAGCTGGGATTACAGGCATGCACCACCACGCCTAGCTACTTTTCTATTTTTAGTAGAGATGGGGTTTCATCATGTTGGCCAGGCTGGTCTTGAACTCCTGACCTCAGATGATTCGTCCACCTCAGCCTCCCAAAGTGCTGGGATTACAGGTGTGAGCCACTGCACCCGGCCGAAGTAAAGCACATTATTAAGACAAACTATATAGCTTTCCTCTGAATACCTTTCACCTGCTACCATGATACCATGCCTGGTATAGAAGATGGAAATTCTAGAAACGGATAGTTGCTAGGAGACTGATGTCAAAACCCAACTTGGCTTCTCTGAAGGAGCCAAGAGGGCCTGGAGACATGTCATTAAAGCATCTAATCAGAAATAACCCTGGAGAGCATTAAGATGATTAAAAATCATTGCCATGTTGAGAATATTGTTCCACATAGGAGAATAAACATGCAGAAGAGGAACTGTTTTTTTGCCTTTATTAAAACAAACTCACCTTCTTAGCAGTGGGATCCCCTTTGGACTGATGATATGATGGAGATATTTTTACCTGGAAGAAAAAGGCAAACATTTTAATACCCTTTCAGTTACAGTCTAGTTTTGTTTGACCCACATTCAAAATAATTCAACTAGAATTGGTACAACTAAGATAAAACAGATATTTCCAGAGGAAATTAATTGATTAATAGATGTTTTCTTACGCCCCCTTGAAATTTTTCTGGAGATCAAAAAATCAGTAGTGACCCAAGAAAAAAATATGATTTGGGTAAGAAAAGTGGGACAGATGGTCTAGATGGGTTTTAACCAAATGGTGAGGGACTAAATAGATCTTTGGTGATCATGTTAAGCAAATGAAGTAATAAATGATCAGCATTTCTTGCAGAAGGTGACTCAAAATCTCTATTGTGATGTAATATCCCTTTGAAGCAAAGCATGGACAGAAGAGTTTGATAATAGTGAAGGATTTAGAAAAAGTATCAGCCAAACCATAATAAGACGACGTTTAGTCCAAGGAAGAAAAGATAATGGTACAGAAATATCTTTAAATATTTGAAAAGCTGAAATATAGAGATTTCAGATTAGATAAATGAAAAAGAGCCAATTACATGCTGCCTACAAGAAACACCATTTAAATATGAAGGCTCAAATAGGTTAAAAGGAAAAGGATGAGGACAATATACCATGATAGCATTAGATTTTTAAAAATTATTTATTTATTATTATACTTTAAGTTCTAGGGTACATGTGGATAACGTGTAGGTTTGTTACATATGTATACTTGTGCCATGTTGGCGTGCTGCACCCATTAACTCGTCAGAACCCATCAACTCGTCATTTACATCAGGTATAACTCCCAATGCAATCCCTCCCCCCTCCCCCCTCCCCATGATAGGCCCCGGTGTATGATGTTCCCCTTCCCGAGTCCAAGTGATCTAATTGTTCAGTTCCCACCTATGAGTGAGAACATGCGGTGTTTGGTTGTCTGTTCTTGCGATAGTTTGCTGAGAATGATGGTTTCCAGCTGCATCCACGTCCCTACAAAGGACACAAACTCATCCTTTTTTATGGCTGCATAGTATTCCATGGTGTATATGTGCCACATTTTCTTAATCCAGTCTGTCACTGATGGACATTTGGGTTGATTCCAAGTCTTTGCTATTGTGAATAGTGCTGCAATAAACATACGTGTGCATGTGATTTATTTATTTTTTTTGAGACAGAGTTTCACTTCTGTCGCCCAGGCTAGAGTGCAATGGCATGATCTTGGCTCACTGCAACCTCTGCCTCCCAGGTTCAAGTGATTCTCCTGCCTCAGCCTCCCAAATAGCTGGGATTACAGGCATGCACCACCACGCCTGGCTAATATTTTGTATTTAGTAGAGATCACCTGACCTCAGGTGATCTGCCCATCTTGGCCTCCTAGAGTGCTGCGATTACAGGCATAAGCCACCACGCCTGGCCGATAGCACTAGATTTTAGAGCAAAGACTACTATCTGGTACAAAAAGGGTCATCCCATAATAATAAAGGGGTCAATTCATCAGGAAGATACAACAATGCTAACCATCTGTGCACCTAATAGCTTAAAAATACATGATGCAGGCCGGGCGCGGTGGCTCAAGCCTGTAATCCCGGCACTTTGGGAGGCCGAGACGGGCGGATCACAAGGTCAGGAGATCGAGACCATCCTGGCTAACACGGTGAAACCCCGTCTCTACTAAAAAATACAAAAAACTAGCCGGACGAGGTGGCGGGCGCCTGTAGTCCCAGCTACTCAGGAGGCTGAGGCAGGAGAATGGCATGAACCCGGGAGGCGGAGCTTGCAGTGAGCTGAGATCCGGCCACTGCACTCCAGCCTGGGCGACAGAGTGAGACTCCGTCTCCAAAAAAAAAAAAAAAAAAAAAAAAAAAATACATGATGCAATCATGCAAAGAACTATGCTGAGTGAAAGAAGTCAGATAAAAAAGTGTATCTATTTTATAGTTTCATTAATCTAAAATTCAAAAAAATGCAAAGTAATCTACTGTTTAATTAGTTTGTAAAGATAATCAGTGGTTGCCAGGGAACAGAAGGGAGGGATTAAGCAAATTTTTGGTGGTGACGGGTAGAGTCATTATCTTGACTGTGGTGACAGATTCATCAATGTATACATATGTCAAATTTATACACTTTACATATGTCCAGTTTATATCAGTTATTACACCTCAATAAAGCATTTAAAGAAATTGGAAGTGTATAACTAAAACAGTGGTTAGAAGAATTTACAGCCCATACGTTATTTGGGAAAACAAGAAAGGTTTAAAATAAAGGATCCAAATTTCCAATTTAGGGAACTAGAAAGAGATCAAAGTAAAACCAAACTAAGTAGGGAAGAAGTAAATAATAAGCAGCAAAAATCAATGATATAAAAATAAAAATAAACAACCAAGAAAATTATCAGAGTCAAAATTGGTTCTTTGAAAAGATAATAAAATTGATAATCTGCTGTGGAGCTTGATCAAGAAAAGGAGACTATAAATTACCAGTATCAGCAATGAAAGAGGATATATTACAACATGCAACATCATTTACAGATATTTAAAAGATGGTAAGAGCCTTTTGTGAATAATTTTATGCCAATAAGCTTGACAAATTAAATGAAAAGGATACATTCCTTAAAAACAGATGGACCCAAAACAGAAAATATGAATAGCCTTATATCTATTAAATAAATTCAATTTGTTATCAAACATCCTTTTGCAATGAAAATTCCTAGCCCACAGGGTTTCAGCAGCGAATTCTAGCAAAAATATTAAATATACAGAGACCAGAATATCTACTTATTAATTTACAGGGGTTAGTCCATTCTCATGGTGCTATTAAAAAATTCCTGTGACTGGGTAATTTATAAAGGAAAGAGGTTTGATTGACTCAGTTCCACATGGCTGGGAAGGCTTCAGGAAACTTACAATCATGGCGAAGGGGAAGCAAATACATCCTTCTTTACAAGGCAGTAGGAGAGAAGTGCCAAGCAAAAGGGGAAAAGCCCCTTATAAAACCATCAGATCTCATGAGAACTCACCCACTATCACAAGAACAGCATGAGGGTAACCGGCCCCATGACTCAATTACCTCCCACCAGGTCCCTTTCCCAACACATGGAGATTACGGGAACTACAATTCAAGACGAGATTTGTGTGGGGACATGGCCAAACCATATCAAGGGCAAAATATAATTATTACTATAAGTAGTTCAATGGATACTAGATACTATCTGACTAGAATGAGGTACTGGTAAACAGTTACAAGATCTCAAGCCTCTTTCAACTCTAATTATAAGAGACTATAATATAGATGATAAAGATATTTCCTATCACCGTTGCATCGCTATTCAAGTAGGACCACGCTGCAGGTTTTGTTTAACCTCTCTGATTTTAAGAATAACTTTAGGAAACACACCTCAGCTCAACAATCAAAACTGCTAGCTGTCCAGACTGTCCTTTCAGATTTAGTAGATCTGCAAAAATTAGACTTGACAGTCTTTGCTGTAACATACTATGACATTCATACTCTTCAATTCACTCCAGATGTACGATGCAGCTTGCTAAAAATGATCCAATTTTAACTTCTGGTATGCTCTTTTTGAAAAGGGAGAAAACAGATTTTCAAAGCAAAGTAGATATTTAAGCTTAAAAAAGTGACCTCATGAAAGAACCTGCAGACTTTTAGAAACAAGCCAAGAATTAGATGTGCTGGTGGACAATTTATTGGAAAAGGCTGTTCTCTAGAGATTAAGTCAGAACATGCTTGAAGTGGCAACGGAAGTGGTCCAGCATCCCTCATGGAAGGCCTTATTTTTTCACTTAACAGGATTCCTTCTGGAAATGCCGCAGGCAATGAAGCTTAAAAGAGACACTTTAAATCCAGGTGTGCAGACACTAGATCTGGGGATATGGATGATATACTAGGCTAGGGCCTTAATAATGCTGAACTTTTTGTGATCTTTGTTAATAAAATGATTCCTGACTTAACGAAACAATCTGAGCTGAAGTTTAAAAGCAATATGAGCAATATGAATTCTTCTTCATCATCTTGTTTTTTGTTTTTTTTTTGAGATGAAGTCTTGCTCTGGTTGCCCCGGCTGCAGTATAATGGCACAATCTCAGCTCACTGCAACCTCCACCTCCTGGCTTCAAGCAATTCTCCTGCTTCAGCCTTCTGAGTAGCTGGGATTACAGGTGCACCCCACTATGCCTGACTAATTTTTGTATTTTTAGTAGAGACGGGGTTTCACCATGTTGGTCAGCTGGTCTCGAACTCCTGACCTCAGGTGACCCACCTGCCTCGGCCTCCCAAAGTGCTGGGATTACAGGCATGAGTCACCACACCAGGCCTTTTATTGTTGTTGTTAAAATAGGGCTAGGAATGGTAGCTTATACCTGTAATCCCAGCAATTTGGGAGGCCAAAAGGAGGTTGGCTTGAGCCCAGGAATTTGAGACCAGCCTGGGTAACATGGCGAAACGCCATCTCCACAAAACATTTAAAAATTAGCCTGGAGTGGTGGTATGCACCTGAGGCCTCAGTTACTTGGGAGGGTGAGGTAGGAGGACTGCTTGAGCCCAGGAGATCCAGGATGTAGTGAACTATGATCACACCACTGTACTCCAGCCTAGGCAACAGAGTGAAGCCTTTTTAAATCTTTAAAAAAAAAAAAGTCTTAATTTTTCTGATTACAAAAGAAATACATGTTCTGTCACGGAAATTTAAGAAATATAACAGCTTCAACAAGGCAAATAAAAAGCAAAATCCAATCATACAGCAATAACTGCTATTAAAATTTGGAATCACTGCTTTGTGATCTATGTTGCACATTATGAATGTTTACTTTGACATATCAATATTCTTCTACCATATGATTTTTCATGGCTACAAAGCAGTTCATTCACTGCCTAGACATACCATGACTAATTTAATCAGCTGTGGGCTATTGGTACATTTTAGGTTATTTTCAATTTTTAAAAATTATTTTTTAAAATGTTGTATCCTTGTATATAATATTTGGCACACAA